TTCTCTTGGTTTCCCTATGGACACTTCCATCCACACCTGCATCTTGTCAGCTCATTAGTCCAGTCTTTGTTCTGTCTACCATGTATACTCTCCCTGTGCAGTTCCTCAGTGCTGGTTCCTGGTTGTATTGTTGTTTGCCCTCGTCTCTGGCTTCCTACATGAGTTTTCCCTGATGTTTTTGGTTTTTTGTATTTTTTTGTTTTTCCTCAGTTGCTCCATTAAATCTGCAAAATTCACTCTGCCTCCCAGTCTCTGCATTTGGGTCCTCAAAAACCTCCACTCAACCCGTGACAGGATGACACGGTGTTCCACTGTTTATTAATGAATGTGATCTTTAAAAGACACCTGGTTACAGTAAAGAGGATAGTTATTTTTTTCCTTCAAAATATTCATGAATATTTTTTTTTTTTTTTTTTTTTTTTTTACTTCTTCGTTTATTAAGGGATCTTATTGTTTGACCTTTATGTTCTTTTTGTGCATTTTATACTTTTGCAAAGGCTCTTTGAATGTTTTCCATGTAAAGCACTTTGAATTGTTCTTTTACTAAAATGAGCTTTACAAAACAACAAACCAGCAGAACACATCACCCATTAACTGGTCTCTGTTTATGGGATATTACATCATTATTGAGAACTGGGGCCTTGATTCTTTGTATTCAACAGAAAGAAAACTGCAACTCATTAAAGCCGATTTTATCCGCTGTTTTGGCTCAGTGGAGCGATCTGTAATAAAAAAAAAATAAATAAAAAAATCCCCCATTTGAGGGGAAAGCAGTAAATAAAAACAAAAGGATTTTAACCAAATATGAGAGGCAAATACTGATTTTTTTTTTAGGACATAAATGGGCAGGACTTATGTCAAAACATTTATTCTGATCCTCATTTAATCCTTTTTTGGACTACATCCATTTCAAAACTCAAAATAAAGTATTCCTCACAGAGACCTCCTCATGGGATCATTCCCTGATGGAGGAAGCAGACTCCTGTTCCCAGACAGCCACATGTTACAGGGGAAAAACTGACGTGGTCGATCTGTGGCAAACAGGAGCACAACGTTGCACAACAACACATATCTCACATATACAGTAATTTGAGTCATTTCCAAAGAAACATTCCCCTCCTCCTAATTTTACTTCTTTTATGATTTGTTCTTTATTTTGTCCTTAAAGATATAAAATATTGTTCCCGGTAAAGTTTTATGGAAGAATTATGAAAAGAATGGTTTTAATAATCCCACATCTGATTCACTCAGGTAAAAGCTGAGGCAGGCATGAATTGAGCGGGGTAAGGCAAGCAGATGTAGCCTGTGGTTAAAGGAATTAAACAGAAGAGCATAATACCCTGGATAAACACGATCCATATTACACAATACATAAACACATACCCACACACATCCTGGATGCAAATACATGCATCTTGTTCACACTTAAACACCCACACTGTCCTTCGTTTTTATTCAGTTACCTACAGAGAGACACACAGGAGGAAAAACTAATAACTGAGACCGCTGTATGAATAAGGGATTAACATCTCCTGATGTCAGTGAGCTGGTTTTTAAAGAGTTATGTGGTGAAAAATGAATGTTTAAATAAACTATAAGCTCACCCCCTCACTTCTATTTTAAATTGAAATTAAAAGTTTTCCCGGTTGCTCCTTTTGTTCGGCTTATGTTGTTATTATCGTTTTTTGGTATTTTGGTAATCAAAAAAGCTTCCGTCTGTTTATAAATGAAAAATTGGCTTAATTTTTATCTGTATAATCTGTCAGAACAAAGAAGAGGAGCTGAAAGCTATTTTTGCTTGGTAGTGTCAAAGAAATATATTTGAAGAAAATTAGAGATGTGCTTGGAAGTTTACATGCCTTCCCATTAAAGAAAGTGATCATTTCACACTAGTAATTCAAATAGCACAGAACTTGAAAAACTTATAATAAATGCAAATTTACTAAATGATAATCTAGCAAAATAAAATACTGATTTTGAATCTTGGTTTAAAAAAGTAATTCTGAAAAACAAACTTTACTTGACAAATAAAAGTATCTTGCTGATGAAGAGTGAACTAAACCTGAACTTGAATGCCTCAAAATTTTTGTTCATTAGCTCCATCAGGGTTGTTTACTTCTTTTACTCATCAATATTTACATATGTAGTATGTGTCAAGGAGCTCAGAATGTAGGACCCAGTATTCAGCCAAGCAGAAAGTGGGAAGTTTCAAAAGGTTTTATGAAAATAAAAAGAACAGAAAGTGAAAGAGAAAGTGGATCTGCAGTGGCTGCGGAGGGGGGTGGGGCATCAACCATCACTGACACTCTGGTTGAGGGTGAAACAGGTAAATGACCATGATAATCTGACGGAAAATGATTATCCGTGTGAGTCACCATGTTTAACAGTTCAGGCCATCCTCTTGAATTAGGCAGGATCTAGTCGATGGACTGCCAATGGGATGGGGCAGGAGCCGCCCAGAGTGAAGCAGATGCAGCAGCCCCAGTGAACAGGCAGGAGTCCAAGCCAAGTCAGGGGCTCTGATCAGAACCGAAACAGGCAAATCCAGGGTTCTATGACTCCACAGAGAGTTCATGCAGCTTCAGGATTCCAAGTCTCCAACTGAGAGTTCTGGCAGAACAGGCAGGCTCAGCAGTTAGGAGGCAGAACAAGGCACGACATCAGGAAAACCACGGAACTTTAAACTGCCTCACTCCACTGAGCCAAAACAGGAACAGGGCGCGCTCAGAGGATAATAGACAGGACACGATCAGGAAACACCAAGACACCATAAATAACCCTGTCTAACCTCTGGCCCCCAAGAACGGTATGATTTCAAACTAAAATTAAAACCCAAACAAACACACAAACAAACATACACAATGATCTGCCCCCAATAGACGAACTGAGCTGTTTATAAAGCAGAAGGATCTGGTGGATAAGATGAACGATAATTAGTGACCAGTGTGAGGTGAGCAATTAGACAAACTATCAGGGCAGCAAACATGACATGTATGCATATATTCAAAATCAATGTCATGATTTCTGTTTTTTTCTTATTTCTTAGTACTTTAGTCAATTTTCATTTATTTTATTGGCAGCTGTTTTCTTCCCCTGTCTTCAATGGAATGGTATATAATCGTTCAAGTACAGCTGTAATTATGATTTTAATGTCAAAATACAATTGATTGTTATGGAACCCTGAAGCCCACAGCAACAAAGCAAGAGCTTCAAAGGTCCTGAACTCTGGGGAGAGAATCTGTAAAAAACAACACTGGATCAGTCAAGCACTACTCTGGCCTTCAAAGAAGAGTAAAGGGAAATAACTGGAGGTTAGGTTTTCAGTTTCCCAGAGACATGTGACAAACACTGCTTAAATACTTTAATGGATCATGTGCCCTTCACTTTAACTACGCTATTTGTTGTTCTAAAACAGAGGTTGACAAAGTGGGGAAATCACATATGGGTTTTCAGATCATTGTCATGTGTTTCCTAAAATAAACAGAGGGTCAAAATCTGCCATGAAATAAATAAATAAATATGGAGGTCACATAAAATAAGTAGCTGTAACATTTTTATACATAACATTAAATACACCAGTATACTGTAAAATGCACAATGAAAGAAATAAATGTCCAATTAAATCTTTTTTTTTTTAAATGCAGTTGAAACTAAATGTTTATTGCTAAAAAAAAATAATACATGTATTTAAATAAAATAACTTCACTTTCAAACCCAGAACCTTCTTGCTGAAGGCAACAGCACTAGAGCAATTCATTTTTCTTATGACTGTTATTGATTTGATACAGCGACAGTCCATATTAATAAACATTTATGACCAGCCAGAAAGCAGTTCCTATAGACAGATAGTAAGTCACCCTAAAGAATAAAAGTAAGATGTATTATTTACCTTACACTATTAAAAATGTTTAAGCTAAAATGAACACAATAAAAATGCAAAAGATCAACAAAGATAGAAACTTGTACACAGAATAAAGCTCATATAAATAAGGCAAGATGGCATCAGGGGGCAATACATGATTTAAATATTAAATATTTTAATGAAATTGTAAAGGGCACAAAATAATTTGAAAAATGCATTCATTTAAAATTAGTATAACTACTTTATATGTATAAATAAATATAGAGTTACACAATTAATGTGTCTAATTATATATGTATTTTTTTCGGGGGTGTCTGTCACATTTTTTGGGCTCAAAGTTGCTGATATGTTTGGAACTTGAGTCCTAAAGCATAAAATGGGCAGTTTGTTGGTGGTTTTAAGACATTGTTAAATAGTTGAAGGAGTATAAACACTTAGAGAGTAAAAGAGCTTTAATTCTTTAACTAGTTTTAATTCTTTAATAGATTAAATTTCAATATATAGTAAAAGTATAGTGAGACCTTTTTATCATGACTCTGAGATGTATTTTTATCATTTAAAGGCTTTGAGAGTGCAGAGATTAAAAAGTTTAAAACAACTGGAACTGGAGTAAACAAGGCCCTACGTTTATCTCAACACAGCATGGGTTAAGAAGGCGGGAGATTATCCTTCTGCAGCAGATGTTTCAGAAACTGTCCCTTTGGGTCCTAAATGAACTTTATCCTTGATAAGGGAACAAATTCAGACACATTTCTAGCTGTTTGAGGAACTTGTGCTTAACTTTATAGGCCTTAATGACGTTTAGTCATTCATTTCCAGTCAGGTAGAAAAGTTCTTCCCCTACTTGATGAGCTTTAATGAATCAAGGCCATTCAATATTCCATCCTCTCCAAAAAAGGAGAACAAACTTCATTAACAAGTGAGACACCCTCTGAAAAATGTGCAGACTGTTAAACAGGGTGAGCAGACATTCTCTGGTTCACCTAATCTGAATGCAATAGATGATCTAACTCACATTAGACTGTGGTTAAATCACCAGCTGACATGAACGTCACTCAATGACAACGCTTAAGTGTTAGGCAAAAGAGGTGGAGCTGGAATCATGGGGTTGGGAATGAGAGGCGGGGGGGGGGGCAGGCAATAAGAAGGAGGCGATTGTTGGGCAGGAGGGAAACATAAAGTGGGGAGTCAGAGGAAAGCGAAGTGAAGCAAAGGAACTCAGATTGCATTCAGGTCAAGATCTCAATCTAAAGCAACAGGTAAGTTCATGTCTCCTTTTGTTTTGCATAGTTTCAGTTATTATTATAAATGCATGCAGTTTCTTTACCACAAACAGACAGCAGATTGGTATTCCTGTGGACCTCCTGCTTTGCTTTCATTGTGTTTACAGTCAGAGGAAATTAAATCAGAGAACCTTTAGAATGAGGTTTAACATGATTTCTCTCCTAAAGCTCATGCCAGGTCATATTTTAGGTGCACTTTATGTGGGATCTCCATGCCTCCTTTTTCCTGTAATCAGATCCAGCTGACCAGGCTTTGCTCTCTGCTTGGGTGTGCAGGCATTTGGACCAGTTGTGCAATACTCCCTGGAATGCTGATTAAGATTGAAGCTGCTCCAAATCTTTACAAATGAGGATTACTTGAATTATCTTGTAAAAAAGTCAATAAATCACTAAGAAAACACAGACAGGGTCATACATTTCAGCTAATTAAGAGTCCTTGGTTTGTTACGTCTTTACGCCAAAATAGTGCAACATTATTTGTTGAAACGGCTTAGGGATCTTTTTATTGGTCGATTAAATCCACCTGTCATTAAATAAACAGTTTTATCTGTTACTGTTTGTTCTGTTTTTTGCCATTTAATTTGTTACAGATGAGGAATTCAAGGAATAGAACAGTTTGTCCCTCTTAAGGCTCTTCCATAACAGATAAACTGAATCCAAGTCCTTAATGCACAAAAGTCTGAAAATGTATAAAAACATTTAGCTTGTTTCTGTCACCTTACAATACAACCTTCAATGTATTTCATCAGGATTTTATATAAAATATACAGCTTAAAAAGAAAAGTAATTTCTCTTTTGATTTTGTGTTTGATGCGACAAATAATTATAGAGCAAATTTAAGAAAAATGTTTCAAAAATGTTAACTGTTTTATGAATGAAAAACAGAAAAGTGTGGCATTCACCTTTATCAGCAAGTCTTTATCAGCACATATAGAAACCGAAATGTGATGTTTAGTTTGTTCAGTATGAGTCAAGCTTTATAAGTTTGGAATGAAAACATCTCTGAACAACAGATTTTAATCTTTGCCTCAGAATTTAAAATCCCTAGACTTTACCATTGCGTGATAAAGTGTATATGATGTGCAATTGAATTAAACTTTTTAAAGTCAGAGGGTTTCAAAGTGATCTACACTACTCACTCTCAGATAAGAGAAATCAGTATATTATTTCAAGTGTGTAATATGAGACTATATAATTTTGAGGGCAAAAATATGCAGTCCTTTGTCCGTTTATCTTCGCAACCTGCTCAAATGGGTAAATACAATTATTTAAGAAACTTTTCCAATGGGCATCTGGCTGTTGCTGATGCTGCTTTGAATCCTGATCTCCTTGCCCAGTTTTGGTAGGTTTGCATTTGTACCATCTTTCAACCTTCACTGCAAAAATTGGTCTGGTGCACTGCAAAAATGTAAATCTAAGTACGTCCTTTTTTTTTTTTTCTTAAAATAAGTTTTTTTTTTTCTTGAATTGAGCAGATAAATGAGACACTTTGCCAATGGAATAAGACAATTTACATTTGAAATAAGTAAAAAAACAAGCGCAGTCTCTTATTTTAAGTGCATATTATCTACCGTAATTATCTTATTCTAAGGGTAAAAACGCTCATATCATTGGCAGATCATCTTATTTTTCTACTCAAATTAAGGGTAAATACACTTATTTTAAGCCATTTTTACTCATTTAAATACAATCTTTGCAGTTTGGTGTATTAGCTCTTAACTTGATCTGGCAAAAGGGTGATCTTCAGATAGAATAAGTATTATTAGCCTAAAAATAAGATAACTAGATATTATACTCTTGAAATAAGATAATGAAGTAGGTTTTTTTTTATTTGTATTGTAAATGTAAATAATCTTCATCTATTGGCAAATTGTCTTACATATCTGCTTAAAATAAGGGAAAATATACTTATTTCCATAAAAATTGACCTACTTAGATTTCAATTTTTGCAGTGATGATTTAAAAGTGCTCCAACATTTACTTCTTAGAAACTTGCAGAAGAAAATTGGATGCAGTTGATTGTATTAAAGAGGATTAAATGTAAAAGGGATGTATATTAATGTAAGTTACATTTATTAGAGTCTGTCAGATAAAATCCAAATATCATAAAATGAAATATGATGGATAGATTACAGGTTATGTAAAAAAAAGAATGTAGAGGAAATTGTTTGTTCATAAACACTAATAATATTAGCAGCTTATGAAATCCTCTGATGGAGTTTTTTTTTTTATGACTTCCAGCTCATCGCCTGCCATGAGGAATCAGCCCCTCCCCTTCGTGATCGTATGTCTGCTTTCAATCAGGGGTCACTGTCCACTGCCCTTTACACCTGCAGGGACAGGGATACCTCCTTATGATCCCGACCTTGCCACGTTTGACTACGATTATGATACATCCACCTCCTCTGACCTGATCAAAGTGCCTACTAATACTGGAATTCCTAAAAGGTGCGACTACAACCCCTGCCGTGAGAAACAACCCCGCTGTGAGGAACTGGCTGCCTCCTCTGGCTGTCTCTGCCAGGGCTCCACCTTGCCTGACCAGCGTCCAGATCCTCCCAAGCTACAATCTGTATCCTGGAACGGTTCAGAAGTTGTAGTTCAGTGGTGTGCACCAAATTCCTTTATCACAGCTTATTTTGTGACCGTTGGAGGAGAGAAGAAGATGTTTGAGGAGGACCACAGGAGCGCGGTGTTGGGCCAGATAGACCACAAAGCGGAGGTCTGTGTGGTCGCTGCAAACGAAGCTGGGGAAAGCAATAAGTCCTGTATGGAGTACCAGCCGAGCAGCAGCAGCCTCCCTCTGACAGCGGGCCTCATCGGGGGGGCTCTGGGACTCCTGCTGCTGATTCTGCTGGTTGTTCTGCTGTGTAGGCGCAGGAGGCAAAAGAGAAAAGAGGCCATGCATGTCCATACATGAATAGTCAGGGATCAAACAAACAAACTGAAAGATTGGACACTCAGAGGAATAAAGACTCATGAAATGCTTCATTGCTGCTGAAGTTCATTAACTGTAGGGAGATTGAGTATCTGAAAAAAGGAGGAAACAGGGTTCATTGACTCCTTATCATATCTAGCTGGTCATATTCATCTACCCATTGGTTGTGCAGCTTGAAAAACACTTTGTTTAAGGAAGCGCTTTATTACGAATAGAAATAAAAAGCAGGAAGATTTTACTGTAGTGATGCTAGGCCCATTTTTCTTCTATAAACATCTTTAATGAATGAGGAATGAATACCTTACCTTACCTCTGGGGGATCTTTGTCATATATCAAAAAGACCTCTGGAGAAATCTGTGTATGATTACTAAAGACTAAGCTGAGAAATACCCACACAAAGAAAGACAAACTACTGATTAAACAGATGGTTCAACTGGAGCCCAAAATTTGGGGGTTTACATCCTAACAAGACTTAGACAGATTTATTTTGTCATTTTGTATACAAGACTGTAAAGAAAACGGAATTTCGTTTAAAACAGCTCTCAATGAGTCTGATCTCTACTTAAATCTGTGACAGGACAGAGAAAAGGAAATGAACAGTTTTGATCTGGTGGTTTTCTGTAGCAAAGTGCCAAAACAGAACTGAAACGACTGCCTTCCTGAAAATCTGCTCCTTGGATAAAAGGTTGTTGTTTATTGAGCTGATTTACTTTATTTAACCAGGAAGTCCCTCACTGTTGACAGAGATACAGTATCTCCTCAGCCAAGCTGTATGAGAGTGATATCTTTCATACACATATAAAAACACTGAAAGGAATAAAGATCGAAACTTATTTAAAAACAGTTTGTTCAAGTCGGTTTAAAATGCTGTGGTAATAAAGAGTGGTTATAAATCCAGTTTATGCAAGAGTTTTGGCCTAATTCTGTAGTACAAGTTTAAAAAAAAGTGTTACATACACTGGATAATATTTGAACAGATGCAAAATAAAGCTTTGTCCTATGAATACACCTGATAGGCGTAAGATAAACTAATTTTTACAGAAAGGTATGGCAGAAGGGTGGATGATCAGAGATGTATTTTAAGTTTCAATGATTCTTATCTAATATGGATTTTATACGTTTTTTTGTGTGAAAATATTTGGTAGGAAAGAAATATTTATTTCTTGAACTCTCTTGAGTTTTCTTGTGTATTTTATGTATATAATTTGTATGGGAATAGATTGTGGCTTCGAGGATAGGAAAATGGGAAGAAGAAAACTACTCTGATTTTATTTTATGAGTGTCATTTCTACACCTTATTTAATCTTGTGATTCTTGACTAGTTGCTTGGTATGTTTAGAAAAGTCTGTCCTTTAAACTGAAATAAAGAGCTGACTCTTGTTGGCCAAATGTGTTCTTTCCTAACTGCAGTAAGATGGGTGTGTTTTTTTCCATCTGTTTTGCTGCTGGATGTGGTGTCATCTCTGGTCTGGAGCAGCTCCAGAATCCACTGCTTTTTTCCAGCTGTCATACATTTTTTTTCCTCTGGAGCATTATGGATTTTTTTTGCAAGGGTCTTCAGTAAGAAGCTGAAGGCGTTTCCTGGCACAGTAAAAAGAAGTAGAAGAGGTCTGTTGTTTAAAACCTTACAAATGATCTCGCCCTAGAGCCTTCATTATATGCATGTCTCCAGCTCATGGTTTAACTCAACATTCTTATTTTTTTTTTATTACATCCCTCATGGTCCCAAACGTCTGTTCTGGAAATCATTTACATGTTTGCATTTTGGGGTCAAAGTCTCCAAGGTGGCTGAACCTTTTCAGTTCAAGGCGGTTGCATATTAAAGCCCAGAACCAGCAGAGGACAGGATGACTCACTACTGAGGTGCATTTATACCACAACCGCTGCTATGATGAATAAAGCCTGAGCCAGCATGCACTGTTTGAACCAAAAAGAAAATTCAACTACAATAGCCACTATTAAACCACTTAAAGCAGCACTAAAATGGTTTCAAACAAATACTGTAAAACTAAAAGGTGCAAAAAAGCAAAACAACAGAAAATATGCACCGTAACATTATAACAGTACCCCGTAGGCCCGGATTATACAGTTAATCAGCAAAAGTTGATTTTCTTTCTTTCAAATACACTTAATTTGTGAACTAAACATTAAGAAGTGACAAAAAAAAAGCATCAAACAACTGGACCTAATAATTTGATTATAATAACCTAGAAGTGTAGCCTCAGAAATATAGTTATGTTGTTGATTAAGGTTTCTTCAAAAGACAGATAGTAAGAGCCATTTTTTTTTTTTTTTCAAAATCTCAAAACAACTGGAACTGGAAACAAGGCATCTCAAAATGACTTTTACAGTGTTCTGTTTACTTGTTTCAGTAAAAAGGAGCTGACTCATGTTTAGGGTTTTTTAAAACTCTGACGATTACTGACTCACTCAAACAGAACCATAAACCCTGTTTCAAGTGGTCTAGGTTTAGTTTAAACCTTCAGGGCTTTACGTGGACCGACTACTTCATGTACTTTTGATTTGATTTAAATATGTACGTTTTCCTGTAGTCATAGGTCACTGAATCAAGGCGTTTTAGTTTCACAGACTGTGGAATGCAGTGCTTATCCTCCCCTGGAGGTTGCACTCTCTGGATGGGTTTAAAAAGCAGATAAAGACATTTTATCCCCAAAAAAACTTTGAGATGATATGAGCTTTTATAATGGGCATTTATTATCCTGTCATGCTTTTTTTTTGTTGTGCATCTGTGTATTTTATTGTGTTCAACCTTCTTACGAGGCTCCTTGTGACATCATTCTGAGAAACATTTAATGCTCAATTTTAATGCTTTTTTATAGTTTATACAATAAAAAAGCTTCAGGAAGTTAATTTATGGTGTTCTCTTTAAAAAAAAACTTTCCCTTTGGAGTTGAGTCACGTTCTGTAATTCTTCATTTTATTTATTTATTTATTTATTTTTTTTTTGTGGGTGTGAGGATTACAAAGTTCTGTAGAAGGAACTATTATAACTGATATAAATCACATTCTTTGGAAGAACAATTACATATAAAAACCTTCAATTGGAGTGAGCAATTATATATATATTTTTACCTAAATAATATTTAATGAGGATCTGGCTCAGAATGCACAGCTTCCTCATCTGCTAGCTATTTGGATATGTTGACTTTGGTGTTTCTTTGTGCTGCTGAGGACAGACTGTCCAAAGCTTTCTCCGGTTTCACATGCCTTTCAATGTTTAAGATACCTTCCAGAAAGGCAGACAGGGCGTCTCCTTTGGCTTTTTCATGCTGGCAGGAGAACAGCTTCATCTGAAAAATTTAAGCCACTTTAGTGAGTTGAACAAGTGCTGATAAATCTGCTGTGTGAGAGTTCTGTCTGCACCTGTTAAGACTGCATATTAACATCTGGGTACCAGTCATGTTGAGTCACTCCCATTTCATCTGGGGGTGTGATGAGGTATTTTATCTTTCTTTCTGTTTAATAAGTGGGCAGTGAATCATTTCAAGCTGACAAAGGTTTTTAAAGAGCCTCTTCTGTTACTGTGAAGGAATGACTACCAGTAACGTGTCTGGATGAGTTTTTGTGTAGACTAGGATCCGGTGTTGCACAGATTTCTTTGTTAAAGTTTCGGTTAACTCTGACTAATGTTAAGTTGGAGAAAATTATCTCAGATACAATTAAAGAAGTGCAACTGTAACTGGAGCATTGCCCCCTGCTGGCCACATTTGAACCTGGTACCCCAGTTCTGTATGCTTTAGTTGTCTTTTTGCTGCCACAAACCCAGGGGCGGAGCTAGATGGGGGCCAATCATTGGCCACCCTTACAATTTTTTTCTCCAGAGGGTGGCATTTTTCACATTTGAACAATTACTTAACAACAGAAACACTGGTTAATTATGCACATCAATATACTAACAAATACAGAATTTATGCTCTTTTCAGAACTAGATTTTGTCTTATATGGGGTAAAGAGAAAATAATGTGTCTCTGCAAGTCATCTAGGTGTCTTCAGTGAAATCATAGATAAATAATTACTTTAATAATAACTTATAAATTAATTTAATGTGGATATTGTTGGGAGCTGGAGAAAATACCATTTTTCTCCAGCAGAGTCCACCGTGGATCCTCTGAGGGAGCCTCCTGCACAGGTGCAGCTCATCAAGACCATCAGAGGATCCACTACTTAAGCTGCCTTCAGACCTTACCTCAACGCCGCAGTGTTGTTCCAGTTGGTCAGCGCTAAAGCCTTGATCTCAGTGATTTTTCCATGGCCTTAATCCCGAGTCAGATTCTAACGTTTGTCTCTGTGCCTCTAGGTGACTCGTGCTTCCTCCGTGAAAGCTCTGGAAGAGCTAACCTGCTGAGCCGACCCTCCGAGCCAAACCCTGAAGATTCTCAGTCAACCTCTAAGCAGCTCTGGGCAAGAGCTAGGAAACCCAAGCCAAGGTCTGTTCAAATAAGACGTGAGACGCTGAAGCAGCTAACGGACTCTGCTAACACATCCTTCTCCAGAACCAATAGTGACTCTCCCAAGGAGAACCTCAAGAACCCTCAAGACTCCGGTGAAACCAGATTCCAGGCCCGAACCAGTCATCGGCATATTGTGTGCTTGTGCAAATAAACTTGTTAAACTTTTCATCCTGTGTCCGTCAGTGGTGTTCTGCATCTTTGGGTCTCCATTAGAGAACCGATCATGACAGATATTAGTACATTTAAATGTCATTTTTTTGTAGAATGATTATTAAAGCTACAGTGTGTAATAATTACAGGGATATACGGTCAGAAATGTAATATATTATACATAACTATGTTATTTATCATCATCTACGAGCTCAGCCTCTTAACCTTAATATTTGCGTTGCCTTAGAATTCGTTATTTATAATTACATAGGAGCGGGTCTCGCAGCCATGGAGGCAGACATCTTTGTGCTACAGCAGCGCAGAGCCAACAAACTAGCGATTGCGAGATCGCCCATTACGCTCGAAAGTAACTACGGCAAGTTGAGAGAGATGAACTGAGACGGTACTGAACACACAGACTAATGAAATACTATCTGTAAAATTATCTATGTAAACAAACCTCATCACTTGAGAAGGTAGGTGATGCGGACGTCGTGGAAGACATTTTGTCCCGTAACGCTCGCTGTACTGTTGGGGGGGAGAAGCGGTGGGGGGGCGATGTTCATGTTGCTGCGGTCTGCAGTCTGGACGTTAGATGTCGCTGAAAATTACACACTGTAGCTTTAATGAAAGTATGTAAAGACAATGTAAAATATGTTCGCGCCAGGACTCAAACCTGAAAGTATTTCGTCCACTGTACCTTTTATCTAGATGCCATGGATGTTTAAATATATGCATCTATTTGTTAACAAAGGCTGTAGGAAAGTATAGTTTGTCTTTATTTAGAAAATATGGATGTTGTGCTCATTCCTGTTGGAACAGTATAGATTGACCCTGAGGTTCTGGCACCTTTCGGCCACCCCTCATTGTACATTGGTTATTGACTGGCCACCCCATTAGGATTTTCTGGCTACGCCTCTGCACACACCTGAATTAAATGAAAGGAGAATTAACTGGCTTTAGCAGCACTTGGTGGCTGCTGAGGAGGAACAATTATTTGAATCAGGTGTCCTCGAACAGAGACACAAATAAAACATGTGAGGGCCGAGGTCATGGCAGACCAGGGCTGGAAACTATGTATGAAGGGAACAAAAAATGTTTTGGCCAAAAATGATTGCAAATAAAAAATGTTTAAAAATCTGAACCAAATAAAAGCCAATGTTTACTGGGTTTTTGGTTTATCTAAACAGATAAAGAATGCAGCATTCGTCTGATGCTTTCGACTGAGGGTTCAAGGAGACAAAGGAACATAAGAACTGATCCCAAACATTTCTATATTAGAGAAGCTAATGTTAAATTAGCTCAATGTGTTGTTTCTCTAGGAAAGAACCAGTTAAACAGATGAGCTTTTAGCCAGTTTTGTTCTAAGAGGATAAAGGAAAGAACAGAGTCGGACTCAGTGTAAATACATAAAATGGAAAAGGCAGAAGTGCGTCTGCAGCTGCCATAATGAGTGTCATCCAAATAGTGCTGTTAGGAAGGAGCTAGGATCAGGGTGCAGCATGCTTTCTAGTGCCAATACAGTTGGCATAAGGACCCCTTAAGGTATCTAACATTTTCAATCGCTCCAAATACCAAAGAAGTTAATTTCAAAACCTTTCATGGAATTTATCCATGAAATTTGCCAGTGACTTTATTCAGAAGTGATTCAGTTTTGGAACTACACATTTATTTTCTGTGATTATAATGAACCTCTCAAGTTGGGTGGAGGCTTTGAGGACTCAAATGCAGAGATGAGTAGGTAGAGAAGGGAGCTAGAGACAAGGCAGCAACAAAACAAGTAATCTACAAACAGGAACTGCAGAGGGAACTGGTGTATGTTTATGGGGAACTGTACAAAGGATGGGCTAATGAGCTGATAGGGAGCAGGTGTGAATAGGACCAGCTAGGAGGGAGCAAAGGGGAAGGAACAGACACAAGGGGGCGACAGAGAGTAACTAAGAAATACCACACTGAAAGAAAACAACTACAGAAAATCAAAGAAACTAAAAATAAACTTAAACAGAGGGCCCTGACAGAAACAACAGACCATATATTTTTGCAATGCATGAACATTAAGGCACTTTGGACTGACATTTTCTAAAATGTTCTTTTTTAAAATGTTTTTAGATATAAACATCATCTATGGTGTAGCCATGAAAAACACTTTCTGATAAATACATTTATCATTCATCATTTATTTGGGGAAGTTCTTCATCCATAATGCCAAACACATGAGGAATATGGCTAAATTACACGGTTTTCACAATAGCCTTTTATTACACCTTAGTGCTCTTAAAAAAAATAAGAATGCACTTAATATTATTTCCATAATTGAAAGGTATGACCTAGAAGCTAAATCCAAGGCATTTATTTTTGCTTTTTTTGATTTTGATAGCACCTCTATTAGTAATTTGTGTTTTGCTCTTTGTTTTGTGCCTTTCTGCTTGTAAATAACGTGTTTCTTATTTGTATTTTTGTTTCTAGCCAGCGCTAGGAGTTATAAGGTTGCTCATAATCCTTTGCATGACAGAAAATACACAGAAGAGCCTATGGAGGACCAAGACAGTAACTGAAAAAAAACCCAGCTATTTAAAATGTAATATTTAAATCATGCAATTGGAAATCCAAATTGAAAAGCATTTTCAAATTGCACATTCTAAATTGAATTATTAAGGATTAATTGTAAACTGTATTTATTAACCCATTTTCAAATATTCGAATGGAGATTTAAAAACCAAAATTCATAAATCTGATCATAAATATGTATTTTTCTTTAATAATCACACAATTAAAAAAGGCTATTCCTTATTCCCTTACCATTTTCTTTTTCTACTTGCATTTTCAAATCGCTTTATCTGCCCTATTTATCTTTTCTGTGATCCTTCTGGTCCCTGAACATACTAAAAACCAGTTTAACCAATCACAGTTGCACCTCGGATGTAACCAGGTCCCTCATTGGTCATTTTTTTAACCAAGTGTGATAATCTAACAAATAAGAGAGTTTAAGTGATTTCCAGAATGCTGTGGGACAAGAAGAATCGCGGAAAAGGTAAATGGAGATGGTTAAGCAAAAAGAAAATGCAATTTCCAGAAGGATTTGAAAAATACAAGTTTAAAAAGAAAACGGAAATGGAATAAGAAATAACCTCTTTAAATGTACGATTAAGAAAGGTATTTAAAATCAGATAAATCAAAAT